TTTGTCTAAAAATGTAAGGAGGATAAAAATAAGTAGTAAAGTAAAGTAAAAATATCAGAAAAATCTACTTGAGTACAGTAACGAAGTATTTGTACTTCGTTACTTCCCATCTCTGGTTTTAGGTTTAGAAAATAATCCATTGATTATTCCTTGCTGACCGGACTTTTCCTCTAATATTTGTCCTCTATTTGTTCCCATTCCTTGTCTGATTATAATAACAACACTTGAAAAAAGTATCCAACAAGATTTTTCCGAAGGCCTTTCTGCTTGGAAGGAAAATGTTTAAAAAAAATCAAAGTTTACATCCCTGATGTCTTTAGTTCACAGTCGGAGAGTGTGTGCATCCTGAATGTAAACCTGGATGTAGCCGTGTCGATGTCGCCCTGCTCCTTCCTCGCCGGCCGTTGCCACGGTGACCCACTCTTCTACATCACTGATGGCGTGTGCGACTCGGTTGATCCTTCAAAACTGGAGTGGGCAAAGTTCAGAGCCAAGATGTCTCTTAGGAGTTCTTTGCACGTTCCCTGCAACCTGGACACCTGCTTCGATTGGGAGACCTGCTCCGGTGGGTTCAGTTGACACTATTTGTGTTCTAACTGAATTTATGAATTTCATGACAAGAAAGTAAGGTTTATACAACATGTTAGAAAACAAACCTGACTTCTCTTTGTTTTTTAGCCACTAAAAAGTGCCAGTGTAAAGCTGCTCGAGACTGTCCCAGAACATCGGACCACATGTTCTGCGTGAAGCTGAAGTCCACAAAGTTGGTCCGCAGCATGAGCCTCTGCGCCATGGCAGCTATCAGATGTATCGGACATGAGTTTGAAATCCTCAATGAGGGTGTTTGTGAAAGCAGATGATGGCCCAACACCAGTTTTTATTTACCTACAAGTGACCTTTCATATAAAAGGGATAAAAATACATTTTAATGTAGCTAGATATGATAGTTTGTCTTGTGTTTCACTGTGAACCTTTGATGGACTGGCGACCCGTCCTGGGTGGACCCCTCACCCAGAGATCGGTCAATAAAGATAGTCCTGGCAGCATTTCCATTTGACTAACTACATGTTATTTTTACTTTCTTGTGCATTAAAAGTTAATATTTAAAAACTGTACAGACATTTATTTATTTTCAAAATAGTTGCTTGCATGTTCCCAATGAGAATTTTCAATCAGCGATGTCAGGGAATTAATTTTACATAAAATTTGTGTTTTCTATCATTCATTTTAATAGCACTTTGTCCAAATTTATTTTATGCCTCAATACATTTGAAACAAAAATTAGGTGCAAACATTTAGATTTAAATTTCTATGGAAAAGTCAGAAATGAGCAGAATAAAGTGGCCAGGCTCTGCCTTAGGAACAACATGAAGCGTTGCAATGTCAAGGGTACGCTCAGGGCAAC